CTTTGTTCAGCAATTATATCATTCAGGAATGAAGGTGAAATAGACATATTTTCAGAAGATGGAAAACTAAAAGAATTAATCACCAGTAGACCTACTTTTAAAAGAAATACTAAAGGAAGTCCGTGGGGAAGGGAAATTATAGCAAAGACAGAAGAGCAACATAAATGGCAAATATCTGGGTAAATATACTATTTTTTTCACCTTATAAGTTTGTTAAAATATAAAACTGTTCAAATAAAAATTTTATAACATCTGATGGGGTTTTCACCATATATAGATGTAATACATATGAGAACTGCATTCTAAGGGGGAAGGGTCAATAAAGGGATCTATTATGGTGTTAAGGTTTCTACGTTTCACTTGAGGTGGTAAAAAAAATTCTAAGTAGATTGCAAAAAGTTTGGTATATAATAACCTCTAGAGCAACTATTTAAAAAACTATGCGAGGGCCGGCCCGGTGGCGCACTGCTACAGTGCGCCGCTTGGGAGTGCGGCAGCGCTCCCGCCAGGGGTTCGGATCCCACATACAGACCGGTTCCCGCTCACTGGCTGAGCAAGGGCCGGGCGCAGCACCGAGGGTTGTGATCTCGTTGCCGGTCCCGGTCCGGTACGGGCGTGACACTGAGGGTTGCGGTCCGTTGCCGGACACGAAAAAAGACAAAAAAAAAAAAGGAAAAAAATAAAAAAAATAAAAAATAAAATAAAAAATTATGCGAGGAGATATATTCAAAAAGCCAATATATCGGTTAAAATGGTATTTAAAAAAAATAAAAAATAAAAAATTATGCGAGGAGATATATTCAAAAAGCCAATATATCGGTTAAAATGGTATTTTGAAAAAATTTAAATAGTTCAAAATAAGGTCAGAAAGTAAACAAGAGTGAAAAATATAAAGGACAAACAAAAATTAATGATAAAATGGTAGACTTAAATCCAGCCATATCAAAAATTACATTAAATGTAAATAGCCTATGGCAATTAAAAAACATTGAATAAAAAGACTAAATTATATGCTATCTACAACAACCACTTGTAATATAATGGTAAATATAGGTTAAAAAGTAAAAGAATGGGAAAAGATATACCATGCAAACACTAAAAACAAGAAAAAAAATCTGGGTGGCTATGTTGCTATCAGACAAAGTAGACTTCAAAGCAAGGAATATTACCCTCTGTTTTGTTATTGCATTTTATGGACTGTATAATAAGCTCAGAAAGAGTAATTTGCCCAAAGTCACACAGGAAACCAAATGTAAAGAAAAGATTTTGAAAGCAACTAGAGGAAAACAACACTTTGCACATGGGAGAACAAAGAGTCGAACAATGGCTGACTTCCCAACAGAAACCATGGAGGCCAAAGACAGGAAAGGAACTAACTTAACTAGAATTTAGGGGAAAACTTTCTAGCAATTAGGACTCTCCGAAAATGAAATAAGCTTTGTATTAAATTTATTTATGCAATTTTTGATGTCTCTACTTATAATTTCAGAGCCAGGAAGCAGTGTAAAGATCATCTAATCCAATGTCCCTCCTTTTAAAATAAAGTGAAGTCCTAGTTCTGGAGCACAATGGCTATTTATAAAGCTAGAGCTCATATTGCTGAAACTAGAATCTAAGTCTCCTTCCGAACAATGGCCTTCTCACTACACCCACTAATAATCTAGATGATATTTTGAATCTCTTGAATCTGTTTTCATGATTCACTTAACACTAAGCAAACAAAGCTAACTAAATAAGTTGCAACAATAACTGAAGGATTTATGTTAAATTAAGAAAAAAATTTAAGCACTAAAGGGAACCAAGGTGTGAAATATTTAAATTCTCAAAACCCTTTGACTAACTTCTACCCTGAAAGCCATTAAAAACTCATTGAATTACATTAGTTTTGCTTTTGTTTTTAATCACAATTTAGGAAACTTATAGTTAGTAAGATCCCTGTGTTTAGCATTAAATTATGTGCAGAAGAGAATATATTGCAAAGACTACAAATTTGGCAGATGACTTAAGCATCTTTTGATAGGAAAATGTCCACATAAGTGCAGAATAAACCTGAGACAGGGATCAAAATAAGTGGAAGCTAAGCATCAACATAGGCATATTTTAAAAGTAATTAGAGGCAATCAGAAAGTAAATACAGATTGCTTTATAATTAGGAAAATTAGTAGTTGGGTTGGCAGAAAACTTGTCAATCACAAGATAGACGGCAGAAGATTATTAAAATATATGAATATATTTTTTAAGTGCTGAAGGGAAAATAAGTTCTAAGGTCAGCTACACTGTTACTCAAGAGTGAGTAATGTACACTGAATCAAAAAGTCACACTTGCACAGATGACCTCTTCATATGCCACTCCTCTAATACATGTAATCTTACCAACTCTACCCAGTGTGGCTCAACCAGAACTAATAATACACTATTTATTCCTATTTAGAAAAGCCAATAAAAGCAGCCCCAAACTCTCAGGTGGATGTCCGTCTTTCACATTCTAATCCTCATAAGTCTTTGTATACCTGCTATGCTTTACCCAATGCATCATATATCCTTAAACTATGAAACCCTTTCTTTGTTCCAGAAAAAGTAATTAGACACATATTTACTATAAAATTTCCAAACACTCAAACGTAAAGAAAATAGAATGCTGAAACTCCATATACCCATCCTGCAACAATCCTCAGATTCAATAGTTACCAAGATTTGCCTCTTTTGCTTCATCTATCCCTTTATTTCCTTTGCTGGAGTATTTTAAGACAATCTCAGACATCATTTTATGCCACATACTTTCATATGCAGCTGTAAAAAATGGAGAGTGGACAGTAATTTTAATTGAGTCAGTTATTGTAAAACTTATGAAAATATGGAACTAATATCATGACCAATATATGTCATAAAAACTTTTATAGTGCAACTGATACCACCAAGAAATTGAAAAGACAACCTGCAAAATGGGAGAAAATATTTGCAAATCATGTATCTGTTAAAGGAGTTGTACTCAAATATATAAAGAACTCGCAAAATTCAACAATAAAAACAAATCATCCAATTAAAAAATAAGCAAAGGATTTGAATAGACATTTCTTAAAATATATATATAAATGACCAATAAGCACCTGCAAATATGCTCAGCATTATTAATCAGTGGGGAAATGCAAATCAAGACAATGAGGTACTACTTCACAGCCACTCAGATGGCTCTAATAAAAACAACGTAAGTAGTGGTGAGGACGTGGAGAAATTGGAATCCTCATAAATACCTGGTGGGAATGTAAAATGGTAAAGCTGCTTTGCAAAACTGTTTGGCAGTTCCTCACAAAGTTAAACATAGTAACCCATGAACAAAAAATTCCCTGGTAAATATATACACAAGAGAAATATGTCCATATACATCCACACAAAAATTGTACATGAATGTTCATAGTAGCACTATTCATAGTCAAAAGTAGAAACAAACTGAATATCCATCAGCTGATAAAATGTGGTATGTGCAAACGAATTTATTCCACCATAAAAAGGAAGAAAGTGCTGATATGTGCTAAAACATAAATAAACCTTGAAGACATTATGCTAAGTGAGAGGAGCCAGACACAAAAGGTCATATATTGTATGATTCCATTTACATGAAATATCCAGAACAGGCAAATTCATAGAGGAAGTAGATTAGTGGTTGCCTAGGATTGGGGGAGAAATGGAAAGTGTTTGCTCTGGGGTGATGACAATGTTCTAAAGTTGATTGTGGTGATGGTTGTACAACTCTATGAATACACTGAATTATACACTTTAAATATGCAATATTATTAGAGAATTGTAATCAAATGCAAACCCTATCAATTGTATATCTCAAAGCTATTTTCAATTTAAAAAAAAAATTTTTTTCCTTTTTGTCTTTTTTCGTGTCCGGCAACAGATCGCAACCCTCAGTGTTGCGCCCGCACCTCGCTCAGCCAGTGAGCCGGAACCAGTCTGTATGTGGGATCCGAACCCTCGGCAGGAGCGCAGCCACGCTCCCAAGCGGCGCACTGTAGCAGTGCGCCACCGGGCCGCAATTTAAAATTTTTAAAATAAAATTTTAAAGTTTAAAATTTTTTTTAAAAACTTAATCACTTCAGCACTGAAGGCATTAACATTTAGTATTTTCTGAAACTCAAGAAACAATTTAAAATTTTTAAAATAAAATTTTAAAGTTTAAAATTTTTTTAAAAAACTTAATCACTTCAGCACTGAAGGCATTAACATTTAGTATTTTCTGAAACTCAAGAAATCTTTTTGATTGAGCTGGAGAACATCCAGAGAATATGGAGGCCTGATTGAGGATAGATTAAGATAATTACAACTCGTCAAAAAAAGACTTGAAAATATTAAAATCTGAGGGGTTGAGCGAGAATGGCTTTTTAAAAAACTTAATCACTTCAGCACTGAAGGCATTAACATTTAGTATTTTCTGAAATTCAAGAAATCTTTCTGATTGAGCTGGAGAACATCCAGAGAATATGGAGGCCTGATTGAGGATAGATTAAGATAATTACAACTCGTCAAAAAAAGACTTGAAAATATTAAAATCTGAGGGGTTGAGCGAGAATGGCTTTTTAAAAAACTTAATCACTTCAGCACTGAAGGCATTAACATTTAGTATTTTCTGAAATTCAAGAAATCTTTCTGATTGAGCTGGAGAACATCCAGAGAATATGGAGGCCTGATTGAGGATAGATTAAGATAATTACAACTCGTCAAAAAAAGACTTGAAAATATTAAAATCTGAGGGGTTGAGCGAGAATGGCTTTTTAAAAAACTTAATCACTTCAGCACTGAAGGCATTAACATTTAGTATTTTCTGAAATTCAAGAAATCTTTCTGATTGAGCTGGAGAACATCCAGAGAATATGGAGGCCTGATTGAGGATAGATTAAGATAATTACAACTCGTCAAAAAAAGACTTGAAAATATTAAAATCTGAGGGGTTGAGCGAGAATGGCTATCATTTGTGTTATGTGTCAGGTGATTTTGTGGAGTCGGGTTTCCACGCTACCTGCGACCGGTCAGCGGGGGCGCCAACCGCTGGGCGCCTGCACGGACGGCGGGCGTTCGTCGCCATGACAGCACCCGCGGGGGGCCCCGGTAAGCGCCGGTGCGGGCTTCTTCCTTTTTCGGGTCCCCGCAGTCCTCCTCACGGCGGGACCTGGGAGCCGAGCGGCACGCGGCGGCTGGGGTGGACCCCGGTCCGCACTCCCGGAGCGCGGCCACTGTCGACTGGGCGAAAACCTTGGTTCCCGGGGTGGGTGTGAGGGGAAAAGCGTTGGGAGCGGCCGAGAATGACAGGATTACTGCCTTTTAAGGTCTTGGTTGGGGTGAAACGAATGTGATACTTTCCTAATCCATAATTTCCACGGGCCAAATGGGGAGGAGCCTGGTCAGTTCGGTTCCTCATTGGGAATCAGGCGAGGGTTGGGAATGCAGTTGTCCCAGCTTCTCGGGGCACGACCTGTGAAGGCTAGTAATGAGCGTGTCTCTGTTTGACCCTGGAATCAGAGGGGTTTTAAACCGCAGAGGGTTCAGTTCTACTGCAGAACGTTACAGTATCTTTTACATAAACGTAAGGAGTCGCAGTAGACAGCCTCTGTGACACATTAATTTTTCAGTTTAGATTTTTTTCCTGATTATCAACGTAAGAAGTGCTCATTATAGAACATTTATAAAATGTATTGAAGTAGGGGAAAGAAATCCCCATAATGTCAATACTCAGAGGCACCACTAGTAACTTTCTCATGTTTTCTGACAATCCTGAATTTTAAGAAAATGTAGTTAAGATCATAGTAAATATAAATTTTTATCCTTTTTAATATCCCTACATCACAAGAGCTTCTTATAAACATAATTTTGAATGAATGAATTTATTATACTGTAATTTGCTTCACCAGTCTCCCAATGTTGGACATTTATCATTTTTTTAAATTAGAACTCATGCTGCAATGAACATCTTTGCATTGCTCTTCCTTGATTCTCATTATTTTCCTTCCTTCCCTCTTTCCCTCCTTCTCTCCCTCCCATTTTTCCTCCCTGTCTCCTTCCCTCCTTCCTTCCCTCCCTCCTTCCCTTCCTTCCCTCACTGGACAGTATTCTTGTAATAAGAATTACTAGATTAAAGGATGTGAACATTTTTTAAGGTATGTGGTAAACCTCCATAGAACATTTTATTCAGACTAGGATTTTTCTTTTTTAAACCTCAGGCTCCTTACATCTCAGCATAAATCGTGTTAATGTCTAGTTTTAATAAAAATCCAAATCTGGGATGAAGTTCACACTCAAAAGACTTTCACCATTATCATTATCAGACTGTATAAATACAGGTTCTCTTCTGAATTGATGCAGAGTTTACAAAATCTTGGAGTTAAATGTGAGCTCAGGTGAAAAACGTACCAGATCCTGACACATATTAACAGGTTACAGGAGTTAGGAAGTGGACATCTTTGGGGGGCCATTATTCTTCCTACTACAGCATCTATATATACTGTTCTCCACCTTGCTGTTTTTTAATTTAACAACATGTCTTTCAGATCAGTACATATGGAGTTGCCTTATTCTATTTAATAGCTGTAAAATGTTCCATTATATGTATATACCTTAATTTACTGAATTCATTGTGGGTGGACATTTGGGTTTTCACCCTTTTGCTGTTACAAACAGTACTGCAGTAAATATCCTTGTATGAATTGTGTTATTTTGAACATGTAAGCCTATTTGTCTATGGGGTAAATTTATAGAAATGGAATTCCTGGGTAAAAAAGTACATGGTGTTTTTTTTTAACTTTTTTTTTTTGTCTTTTTTCCGTGTCCGGCAACGGATCGCAACCCTCAGTGTTGCCCCCGTACCGGACCGGGGACCGGCAACGGGATCGCAAGCCTCGGCGTTGCTCCCGCGCCTCGCTCAGCCAGTGAGCGGGAGCCGGTCTGTATGTGGGATCCGAACCCTCGGACGGTAGCGCCGCCGCGCTTCCCAAGTGGCGCACTACCCATTGCGCCACCGGGCCGGCCCTTTTTTAACTTTTTAAAAAATCTTTATTAATATATAATTTGCATACCATACAATTCCCTCATTTAAAGAATGTAATTCAATAGCTTATAGTATATTCACAGACTTGTTCAACCATCACCATAATCAGTTTTAGGACATTTTCATCACCACAAAAAGAACCCCTCCCCCACCCCAACACAGACCAATCTACGTTCTGTCTCTATGGATTTGCCTATTCTGGACATTTCATGTAAATGGAATCATACAATATATGACCTTGTTTCTGGCTTGTATCACTTAGCATAGTGTTTTCAAAATTCATCCATATTGTAGCATGTATCAGTTCTTCATTCCTTTTATGGCCAAATAACATTCCGNACCAATCTACGTTCTGTCTCTATGGATTTGCCTATTCTGGACATTTCATGTAAATGGAATCATACAATATATGACCTTGTTTCTGGCTTGTATCACTTAGCATAGTGTTTTCAAAATTCATCCATATTGTAGCATGTATCAGTTCTTCATTCCTTTTATGGCCAAATAATATTCCGTTGTATGCGTATACCACATTTTGTTTATTCATTCTTTAATGGATGGACATTTGGGTTGTTTTCATCTTGGAGCTGTTATGAGTAATGCTACTGTGAACAATGTATGCAAGCATTTGTGTGGGCATATAGTAGATTATTTTTAATGGTAAATCACTTCCGGTATTTACTTTTAGAAACTGGAAGGATCCTTAATAATTGCCTAGTCCAGGGGTCAGGAAACTTTCTTTTTAAGTTAAATTTTCTATTGACAAACAATAATTGTATATATTTATGAGGGACAATGTGATATTACGATACAGGTATACATTGTGGAATGATTAAATCGGGCTAATATATCCATCACCTCACACACTTAATTCTTTGTGGTGAGTGATGGATTTTGGACGTGACCGGTGCCATTGTGCACATAATAAGCACAAAATAGCCGCCCCCCTTGTCTTCTACTCCAGCACCAAACCCCTCCCCACTTCCCTTTAGGAGAAGCCTCCTGACTTAAACAGAAACCCTTTTGCTTCTGCAAGGGTGTAGTTCTCCACCCTGGCTGCATGGTTTCTACATTAGCATAATGGCCCTCCTTGATGGTATCAGCCAACCCTTGGTGCCCTATAGAAGCTCAACCACCCCCACACCTAGTGCTGTCCTCCATTTTGAGGGCAGCCCTGGGCTGCCCCCCACTTTGGGTACAGCCTAGCAGGTTCTTTTCCTTTAATAAAGCTTGATCGGTACCAGTCGTCTCGACTCACTTTCTTTCAGAGAGAACTTTTTTTTTTTTTCCTTTTTGTCTTTTTTCGTGACCGGTAATGGGATCGCAACCCTCAGTGTCGCGCCCGTACCGCAACCGGCAACGGGGATCGCGACCGGCAACGGGGATCGCAACCCTCGGGGATCGCAACCCTCGGTGTCGCGCCCGCACCGCGCTCAACCAGTGAGCGGACTGGTCTCTATATGGGATCCGAACCCTCTGCGGGAGCGCCGCAGTGCTCCCAAGTGCCGCACTCTACCGAGTGCGCCACCGGGCTGGCCAGAGAAAACATTTTAAATCTACTCTTTCAGCAATTTTAAATACATAATACATTATTATTAACTGTAGTGCAGTAATCACTGATACTTTGTATCCTTTGACTAACATCTCAGCTTTCTCCATTCATCTCCCCACCCCCAGCCTCTGGTAAAACCATTCTCCTCTTTTATGTGCTGAACTTTTCTAGATTCCACATATAAGTGAAATTATGTGGTATTTGTCTTTTGTGCCTGGCTTATTTCACTCAGCATAATGTCCTCCAAGTTTGTCCATGTTGTTGCAAATGACAGAATCTCCTTCTTTTTAAAGACTGAATTGTATTTCATTGTGTACAAATACCACATTTTAAAAAATCCATTCATCTGTAGATGGCACTTAGGTTGTTTCCATATCTTGGTGGTCAGGAAACTTTCTCTGTCAGGAACCAGATATTAAATTTTGGGCTTTGCAAGTAATAAATTTCTGTTTCAGCTGCTCAACTCTGCCATGGTACTGCAAAAACAGCCACAGATAGCACAGGAAGGGAGGTTGGGATGACTAGGTAGAGCTCAGAGGTTTACAGCAGCAAAACCTGCTGTTCTGTATGACGTTGTAATGGCAAATACACGTCAGCGTACGTTTGTCAAAACCCTTAGCATGTATAATGCAGAGTGAATTCTAATATAAACTGTGGACTTAGTT